ATTACCTTTAAATTGCTAAAAAAAAATCTTGGAAGACCTCACCACTTTAGGGATGAGGAGGAGAAGAGGTCTTCTTCAATTGCCCAACTCACTCTTAATAGGAGCAATTCAGTTAGGTCTACTTGTACCTTCTCACTTGGTCTGGGAATGAGCCACCGTGAACAATTCCCAGGTTCCCATTAAGCGTTGTCGTTAGTCAAGCCATTCTGGAGCAATCAAATTTTGGCCCATTGTTTGTTTGTTTTTTAACTTTAATTTTAGGTAATCTATGACTTCCCTGCTACTGCCCTAAGTGATTTGATTCTATTATTTTATATTAAAAGAAAGGGCACATTAATGCCACTTTTTCTAAACTGATAAAAGCTATTATGGTATGAAATTCCACATTGTGTCCTTTATTAATTATATTCTTGAATTTAAATTACTTCTAAATAGCTGTTTCTAAAAGTGTGCATAAAATTTATAAATATGATGAATGGGAAATGTGCTACTTAATAGCATAAATATACTTACCTTCATTGTTAGTTAAAAATGTTAGTTAACTTTTGAAGAATAGATAGGTTAGCAATGTCACCTTTTATCAACCTTCCCTACAACTCATTTATAGAAAAAAAAATTACTTATAACTAAGAACCCTAAAAATACCGTTATCCTATATAATAATCCTATATAATAAAAGGGTAATATGCAAATAGACTGAGCGGCAGAACCAACCAACCAACCAAAGCGTAATATGCTAATGATATTCTAAGGCTGCTCAACTGCTCACTATGATGTGCACTGACCACCAGGGGGCAGATGCTCTGACCAGTAGGTTAGCTTGCTGTTGGCGTCTGGCCAGGGGGCAGATGCTCTGACCAGTAGGTTAGCTTGCTGTTGGCGTCTGGCCAATTGGGACTGAGCAAAACACCAGTGGGGTCCCTCAGCCTGGCCTGTGCCCTCTCACAATCTGGGACCCCTCGGGGGATGTTGGGAGAGCCGGTTTCAGCCCGATCCCGCAGGCCACTCCCCTTGGGAGGGCGCCAAATGCAGGGCTCATGGCTGGCACAAGCCTCTTCCGATCGGGACTGATTGGGTGCAAGCCCGAGGCAGGCACAGTGGGGCCAGGATGAGCAGGAGCGGCAGGAAGGAGCGGCAGGCGGCATTGGACTGCAGGTTTTGGCCCAATCCCTACAGGCCATCCAGAGGGACCCCACCTGTGCACGAATTCATGCACCAGGCCTCTAGTTAATTCAATAAACACCTCTGGAAACTACTTCTTTATTATAATTAATTCTGGTCATGGTAAAAAAGAAACTGTCAAATACAGTATAATTTGAAATCCTATTCTATGAGGAGATTTGGTTTGGATAAAAAGACCTTGAATACATTATGTTAAGTAAAATAAATCAGGCATAAAAGGGCAATAATTGTATCATTCCACTTACATGAAATACATAGAACAAATTCATGGAGACTAAAAGTAGGTCAGAAAGGATGGGATGCTGGGGGGAGGGGGGTGTGCTTAATGGTTACAGTTTTTGCTTGGGGTAATGAAAAATCTTTGGAAATATATAGTGGTGATGGTTGCACAACATAGTGAATGTAATTAATGCCACTGACTTATACACTAAAATAATTAAAATGGCAAATTTTGTTATGTATATTTTGTTAAAAATTTTAAAAATAATGTAATAATATACTGAAAATCACTGAATTGTACTTTTTTGTTGTTGTTAATCTTTACCCGAGGATATTTTTCCGTTGATTTTTAGAGAGAGTGAAAGGGAGGGAGGAAGGGGAAATTCTAGCATTTCAAGGGATATTGCACTAGATCTAAATATTCCTCCCAAATCTAAGGCTGTAAACCCTACAGGCCATACTCTGGCTGAGTATAATGAAAAGAGAAAGATATTCCCAAAAATGTCCTTGGGCTAAAATTTAGGTAAAATGAAGATAATGCTTATTCGGGTAAGGCTGAGTCAGATAAGATTCTCCTCTTCTCTGCTCCCATAGAACCCCAAAATTATACAGGCAATCCTCGGGTTACCTTGGACTCGACTTACGTCGTTTCGTGGTTACGTCGCCATCTCCCATTTACAGTATATATATTAAAAAAGTTCCGTCATTTCGATGTATGTACATATGTGCTTTATGTTTTTTATTATTTATTTACCACAAGTAAAGGTCAGGAATTGTTATCTTTCTTTTAAATTTTTTTTGCTGTTTCACTTCATTACTGCTGTGCTGTTTCACTTCATTACTGCTGTGCATGAGAGTGACGTAGGTGCTTACGTAGGTGGGTTCCGACTTAGGGTGAAAATCGAGTTAAGTCGCGCCATAGGAGCAGATCTCCAACTTAACCTGAGGACTGCCTGTACCTCATTCTCCTCAGCTAGTTCCTCCTCATCTCCCTGAACTTTTAAACATTAGGAACGCTCCAGGGCACAACCATTCGACTTAACTCTGCTTTATTTAACTGACACTCTGGCTTTAAATACCCTCTATAAACTGAGAACATCCATATTTATAATCTCCAGTCTGGAAGTCTCTAAATCCCAGACTTGTATATCTTTTTATGGTTTTAGCTCTTAAATATTTAGGTCATTGATCTAAATATGGGTCACTTTGAGTTTATTTCTAGCTATAGCTATGAAGAAAGACATCTATTCCTGAATGTCTATCAGGTGTCTTAAGCTTCACGTCTCAAACCAAACCTTTAATATTCCCCATCTAAACCATTTAACAAATTCTGTTGGCTTCGTCTTCAAAACATAACCCAAATGCAACAACTTAACGCCACCTCCTCCTCTACTAACCTAATTTATTGCAATTGCCATTAACTGGTCTTCTGTTCTCACCTTTGCTTCCCTTCAATTTATTTAACAAGCAGCCAGTGATCCTGTTTAAAGCATAAGTCTCTGCTCTAAACCCTTTGATGACTTCCTATCTCATTCAGAATAAATGCCCAAAGTGCTTCCCATGGCCTAAAATGTCCTAACCAATTTGTCCCACACACCCCCTCTCCTCCGCCACACACACACTTTTCTGGTCTCATCTTTTCCCTCTCCCTCCTTCCTTAAACCAGCTCTAGCAGTCCATGGACTTCTGGCTGTACCTCTAACAGGGGAGCCATGCCCCGCCTTTGCATTTACTGTTTCCACAAACTGGAATGCTCTTCCCGTAGAACTCTTCATGGCTAGCCCCCTTACCTACCACTGGTCTTTGCTCCAATTCAACTTCTTAGTGAGGCCTTCTCTGATTGCCTTATTTACAATAGCAAGTGTGCCTCCCCTGCTCCTCCTTACTCCCCCGCCCCACAACATGCCCGCTTTCTCCATCGTACTGCATTTATCACACCTGACACATTACATATGCGTCTGTTGCCCCACACCAGAATGTAAACTCCACGAATTGTTCATTCGTACACTCCCAGTGCTCAGAACAATGCCCGGCAAGCACATAGTAGGCCTTCTGTAAATATTTGTGGAACTAACAAATACAAAGCATGTCATATTACAATCGTCTGCTTATACTTGTCTCTTTAATGGACTGTGCGCTTTCTGCAGGCAACCCTCATTCCCTTGTGAATTTCCAGCACCCAACACACAGCGGGTGTGTTGATTTGAAATGACTAAATCAGTGGTTCTCAACCTTCTGGCCCTTTAAATACAGTTCCTCATGTTGTGACCCCCAACCATAAAATTATTTTCGTTGCTACTTCATAACTGTAATGTTGCTACTGTTATGAATCGTAATGTAAATATCTGATATGCGGGATGGTCTTAGGCGACCCCCTGTGAAAGGGTCGATCGACCGCCCAAGGGGTCGCGACCCACAGGTTGAGAACCGCTGGCCTAAATCAACGACAGGCCAAGGGGCAATCCTCCCGCCTTTCGAGCAGCCCCTACGCTGTCACCCTCTAAGGGAGGGTGCGTAAGGGACGCGGGAAGGCGTCCATACCAGTGCCTATCCTTCGCGTTACTCCCCTCACCCTCACCCCGCACACCGTTATCCCCGCAATAACCGAACGAGAGAACGAGCGAACGGCCGGAGCTAGAATTCCCACGATCAGGATCCAGGAGGAAGCAACTGTGCCTGAGCCTAAGATCAAAGAAGGGGGCCGGACCCCGGCAAGAAACCCGGTCCCGGGGGTGGTGCCCAGAAGAGGAAAGAGCCCGGTGACCACCCTCTTTTGACAGCTGGGGAAACGGAAGCCCAGAGGAGAAAGCGCCTGGTCCGAAATCACACAGCAAGCGAACCGGGCCGGGAACCCACCTGAACCCGCCCGCGCGCCGG